CTTAGATCTCGAATGCTGTTTGCCCACTTTAATTTCTCATATCATGTGTCTACAGGACATCAGCTGTGAAGACCTGAGACAACTCACTCTATTACCTCAAAACAACTGTTGAAAGCCCCACATAAACCTCAAAAATTAAAGTTCCCACGGACAATGACTCTGTCAGACATGAACAGGGCAGGGAGATGAGTTAGATAAGGAGGTCCTGAGGGAGGGGAACCCCTTTGGCACCTCTTGCAGAGAGCAGGGCAGTAACACACAGGATCCTCCAGTTGGTTTTAGAAGGGAGGAGTTTTTCAAAGAACTCAGTTCCTCACTGCTCTTTTGTGATATATGAGCAGACAAACTCCATTGGCCAAAGCCAGTCTACTCAGGTCTTACTGACTGGGAATCTTAACCAGCTCAATTATTTAATGCTGACTGACTGCTGGAAGAGAGGGATTTGGAAGCGTGTCCCTTACAGTCGTGTGCAACAGTTGAAATGCAATGTGCATGACCGGATGTACAAATGTAAGCACTGAGCTATCATGCATATGAAATATGAGGCCACTTCAGTTGCATATCTTATTTCCTTATTTTGTTCTGGATGCTTCCCTTTGTGTTCTGAAGATCTCTCCTGCCCCAGCAATACATCTCCAAGCTATCTCCTCTTCCCAGGTAAATCCATCCCAAGGTCCTATTTCTAGGAAGCCTGTCTCTGGAAAGAGATATAGATCCTTATTACATCCCCTGATTGTTGTAAACCAAAGAAAATGAAGTAATAAGAGTGAAGAACCAACAGGAAAATTCAAGCTATGCTAAGCCCTGGGCTGCTCAAGCGTGCTAGTGCCTGCTTGTCTATCTTAAATATTGTAAAGTCTCACGGCAGGATCACCTTTACATTGATACAAATATCAAACCTATCATTACCATTAAACAAATGACAGCCTGTCTGCAAGGGTTAGCCTTTTGCTGGAATGAAACTGCGTGACACATTTGGATACAGAGCACATGCAGATCCTGCTAAGCCTTTCCTGCACTGGTAACACATAACCTTTCAGCTTTATTTCAAAAGAAACATATCCTCTCCCAGCACTGGAGTGCAGCTCAGTGCTTGAAGCATGAAGGGGCTTGGAGAGGACCTCTCATTCCCTCTTCTGCAAGGAGAGGAAATCCAAGCCTTCATTCCTCCCTGGCACTCAGAAACTGCGTCGCTGCAAGGACCGACAGATGACGTGGTCCTACCCATCGCTTTCCTGATGGAAAAGAAATCAGTGATTCGGCATCTGTGTATTTTCCTCCAGCTGTGGAGCAATGCACAGCACTACGTGCTGGGCTACAACACTCACACCATGCACAGAAGCCCTGTTGTCTCCCAAAACCATCACCCCTGTCTCCGTGCGTGTATCCCAGAAGGAAATACTGTCTCAGGGATTAACTCCGGGCACAGGGTGAATTACCTGGCTCTCTAGAACAGCTCTTCAGAGCCATCTGCAAAAACAGACAATGCAGTGTTTCCTTAAAGGCTGAACGCCGTGTATACCAACAGGGAAATAAACCAAACAAGACCTGGTAAGACTGCAGCAGCATCACCCGGTGAGGATCACCACGTTGTGGGGAGGAAAATTTCTGATTTCAACACCTTCAGTCAGACTTTTCCCGGTGCCACTCAATGCCCCTTCGTGGCAAGACTCTGAAGCCACGTTTGCCGAGTTACTGAGTTCTGTGCCTGACACGCTCTAGACATGATCCCAAACCATCAAGAAACAGATATCCCTATCCAGGCTGCCAGCACTGAAGGTGAAAGTTTATTACCGTCTCTTTGCATTTCCCTTGATATAAACAGGAAACAACCAGCATTAGACTCACCAAATAAAAAGCCAAACCAGATAGGCAAGGCAGAAGATGCTTCTTTTTCCATACACACCCTTTTCCCTCTCATTCACATACAAATTACTGTTGCATCCAGGTGGGAGGAGAGCTTGAAGAGGGGAGGGGGGCAGAAATGTTTGCCAAATAGGTTGAGGGATCAGAAGGCAGCTTTCTCATAAAGCACAGGGCTGACCCACAAACTGCGAGAAAACCTCAAACTCCACAAGAGTTTCCCTCCTCCCCATTTCAGGGTGAGAGCAGCCACAGCAGGGAACTGGTAGGCAAGTAAGGGGTCTAACCAGGTCACTCCACCCTTCTTTTCCCGCCTGGAGCATAACATGGGAGGGAAACAGACCTGAAATGTAGGCCATCTACAAAGACTGGGGGAGAGGCTTAAATGATGTGAGATTTATGATCTTCAAAGTGATTAGCGCCCAGCACTCCAAATAAAGTCAAAGAGAGCTCAGCAGCTCTTGCATTCAGTTTGGAGTTGGGTTTCAAACCATACTTCTCTGGCTTCAGTTTGAAAACTGGAATTGCAAGGTAACAGGAAAAAAAAAAAAAAAGAAAAAAAAACCCCGCCACCCAAAACCAACCTCAAACCCCAAACCAAAATTAAAAAACCCACCAACCTCCACTTCTAATGAAAGAGCTCAGCATCTGATTTTACATGAAAACACTTTGATATTTCCATATCTCATTTCTTCCTTTTTCTCATCATTTGAAATCTATTTGCTGTATTGAAGACGAATTCACCAATAGCTGAGGTCAACCTGAAACGTGAGTGTATAATCTGTGTGCATTTGGGCTCATTCTCATTAAAATAACAACAACAATGGCTCAAGTCTACGCATGGCCTTGAGAGGGCCAAGAGAGGGAGACAAAGAGCCGTTTGCACACTCCTGTGTCCACTCACATGGACTGTTACAACCCCATCCCTGACATCACTGCGAAACCCCTTCTGCCAACAGTACCTATGTTCTGGGAAATCACACCAGATTGAAAAACAAAACAAAACAAAACACCACCATTAAAAAAGAGCTTGTTCACAGGCTTTTTTTTATAAACCTTGATAAGTCCCCAGTCAGGTTTGCTACTCAGTTACACAAACAGATGTGTGGCACAAATGGAAGGGATTTCAGGGTACCCCTTTGGTGGAAGAAGAAAAACAAAAGTGGGAAGTGAATGCTACAAGAGACCGTCATAAAACCACAGCCTCTTTTTGGAAGGGGGATGTTTCTGTCAAGAATCCTGCTGACTAGGAGGCTGTCTGCCCCTAGAACTTTACCAGCATCCACTCGTTCAGTGGCGTGCAGACGACTAGGACCTTAAAGATAATGGGTCAAATCAGCACTGCCTCACCCAGTCAATAACATTTCCTTGATTAACCTCAGCCCAGCTTCCAGTTCTAACATCTCCGTGGTGTTGCCATAGGAAAAGTTTGCAACATGTAACAATCCTGTACTTTCATAGCTTATTTCTATCTTGAGGGAATTTTCTTTTATCGCTAGTTATAAGCAGATTGGAGTCTTCTCTTGGCATGTAGAAAGCCTGTGCTTTGGGCTCTGCAATCCACAGAGCTGGAGACACAAGACTTTTTGTTTTCAGCTGGGTATTCCAAAAAACCTGGAAGATGGCTGAACGTGTTAAGACACCTTTGATAGGAAGTTACGACCCACCCAAAAATCAGAGCAGCCAAACCAAACAAACAAACAGCAGCTTGCTGACATCTGTCAGACGACAGCCACCAAGGCAAACTCGAAGGACAGAAAAGTCACGGGGAGAAGCTTCGGCTGCCCACCTGCTGCTAGCAGGAAGCCTTTGCAAAGGATCGCAACCCTTGAACTCCGGGAACGCACGGTTGGAAGTAGGTAGATTGCTGTACCGTTAAGAGTGCCAACATCTGCTTCAAGTGCTAGTGACTGCCCATGGAATTACAGCCCCTTGTGTTTTCCTTGCTCCAGCTCCCTGGCCGAGCCCTGGAGCCCTGCAGCAGATCAGCGGGTTAGCTCTCCAGACCTCCTCTTTTTCTTTATGAGGTCTGAGTCCAGCTCCAGCCACAGGAGTCCTCAGCTCTGGACTCAAAGAGCATTTTCTCATGTGTCTGCACAGAATCGAGATCTATACGCTCCGGAGGGCTGTCGCCTTCCTCCCCTTGCAATTCTGATGTGAGACTTGGAGATTACTTAGAGCCGCGTATGAAAATTTCCAGGCACTCAGTAAGACCGGGATTGCTTTTAGCTGTATGAAGCAGGAGGATAACAGCAAACACAGCAAAGACAACGGTCCCTCACACATTCATTTGCAATTAGGGCTTGCTTGCCCTGCAAGAAGTGCTTGCTTTTATCTGCTGTCCCTTTCCCCACTGCCTTGCAAAGAGGAATCTGCCGTTGTAGGCAGGCCTGGTCTTGACCTATGCACTCTAAGACCTCAAACCACCTCATCTTCAGTCCTTGCTGATACTCCTGTGAGCAGCAAACAAACAAACAACAAAACAAACAAAACAACAAACAACAAACAAACAAAAAAGACAACGGTCCCTCACACATTCATTTGCAATTAGGGCTTGCTTGCCCTGCAAGAAGTGCTTGCTTTTATCTGCTGTCCCTTTCCCCACTGCCTTGCAAAGAGGAATCTGCCGTTGTAGGCAGGCCTGGTCTTGACCTATGCACTCTAAGACCTCAAACCACCTCATCTTCAGTCCTTGCTGATACTCCTGTGAGTCAGCCCTGTGCTTTCAAACTTGCATACCACAGTGCTTTCAGCGCCAGTGTCACAAGCAGTAGAAATGCACGGGGCTTTGAGGCAGGATTTGCACATTTGCCAGTGTAACTGAGGTCCCTTTTGTTTCTAAATGACAATGGAAAAAATTAAAAAGCCAGAAAAAGCCTCAAGCGAATGGTGATTTAAAGAAACTCTATAATTAACTGAACTTCTATGAAATAAGAAGGCCTGGAAACCAGAAGTTTAATCTGTCATTCTATCCCACAAGGGGAATTGGGAAGAACTTATGTGGTCTGTTTAATGGTAGCTTCTGACCTAACAGTTTTTATCTCTTAGCAGTAGCTGCCTGGGACTCGGCAAATTGAGCAATTAAAAAACAGTAATTCAAGAAAGCAGAATACCTGGTAACCCAGGGAGCATCTTACCTGCCTGTTAAAGTCCAGCCCATTCTGTTCATTTCCTACAATGAAACAAACAGAAAAATATCTCAGTATTAATGACAGCATTGACGTAAACTTTCCATAACTTAGAACACACATAACCAAAGACACACTGCTAGCCCAGCTCAGTTTACTGTAAGAGCAAGGAGAGGAGAAGGAAGGTGGAGTCAATGCGAATGCAGCAATGGAGGTATGAAGGCAACTTTTCCAGCGTTTGGTGGTATCAGCCTTTGCTGAAGTATAACAGAGGTGCTTCTGCCCGGAAGATACCTGGCTAAGCAGCAAGGGTGGGGGAAAGCTCACTGACTGCAAGGGAGATTCCAGCAGAGGTGAGCTGAAGGATGTTACAAATCTCCAGGGAAATCCAGGACCAAGGATAAAGCTAGAACTAACTGGGGGAGAGGCTAGCAAACAGGTAGCCATGGCTGTTAACCAGGGATCTTCAGGAACCCGTGTGGCACTGAGTAATTACGGGATATCTGAAGGAACAGAGGGTGCCGTGGGGTTGTGCTCAAGAGGCGCCTCCTTGATTCCAAAAGAGATTGGCAGGCATGGGGGAAAAATCAGACAGGTTTCAGCCTGAAGGTACTGCACAGGCCCTCACTCATTCCCCTTTGATGATAAACCCCCCCCCCCCCCCCATCACACCTGCCAAATTCATCAAGAACATCACAGAGGTAAGGTTGTATGCTCCAAAGATATGAATGCTTTAAGGGATTCCACGAAGCTTCTTTATTTGCAAAGGCAACCCCAAGAAACCTCTTCCCTTTGCAAACCATTCTCTAAGTCATTCTCTTCCAGTCCAACTGAGTTTGTGATAAATAGTCTTAAAATGTTCGCATCCCACCAGCACAACCCCCAGGGCCGCCGCCTCCTGTTTTGTCCAGTATAATGTTCTCCATAAAGCATAGCCCATGCCCGGTGATTGGATCAAGCTTCAACACATCATGTTTTACAGTAGTTCATGTCTCTCTTACGAAAAGTTGGAAAGCTGTTAAGAGAGGCTGTGCGTGCAGGAGCGCAAGTCCAACTCACCTACTGACTTGCTTGCTTCAACTGAAAGAGCCTCTACCCTACTCTAGCACGCAGTTTTTCAGCTTGCACCATACACATAATATTCCCAGGTGAATCAGCACGGTTCTTTGAGATCCTCGGGGGAGCATGCTTGGCACAATTATTCATAGATGGCAAAATATTTTAGAGTCAATGATAACAATTTCATGGTACCCTATTCTCCGTTATCTAGAAACTGCTCTGGAGATCTAATCTGCAACACGTTAATGGCATTGACTGTGCAAACTGAGTTGCCTTTGTTGCTCGTGTTAAGCTGAGCTGTAGGTCTCCGTTATCAAACAATACCAGAGCACTGTTTCACAGGAGAATAAGATGTTGCTCCCTGCTTTGAAATTTCCTCTATCTTCTCACCATCTGCAACTCAACCCAGATCCAGCTCTGCACCTTCTCTCCCAGCCTGCCTGCATTTCTGCTGTGCTAGTACCTGCCCTCGCTTCCTGTCTTCCTCCCAACCTGCTCCTCAAAGCTTTTTCTCTTCCTAATCTCAGGTCTTTATCTTCTTCCATGTGATTCCCTGTTCTGCTACAACCTCCAAGTTGCCACGCGCTTCCGTGCTCCCGTGCCTCTCGCTGTAACTATCTGCTCCCTGACCACCTCTTTCCAGCTGCTCCCGCCCAAGGAATTTGTTCATTCATTGCGTTCCAGCTCTACGCCCCAAGAGCTAACAACTGCGCATATAACGATGGGAATGCTGATAGTGTTAATAGATGATTGCAATCAGTATCCACACACCTGAGCAGGACTGTGCGAGGATCTTCAAGGCCTGCAGTTTCTACCTTTGAAACCCATGGGGGGTTGATGCAATCTAAAGGCAGTAGCTAAAGGGAAGAAAGGCAAGGAGGAGAGAAGGAGGAAATAAAGATGCCAGTTGCTAAAATAGAACAGGAAGGAAAAGGTAATCTTCTGATTTCTTGGATACAAGTTTCACTCACGTTCAAATGCAGCGTGTTGATGAGGCAAGATTCAAAGACCTTGAGGGAAATCCCTAGGTCCCAGTGATGATGACTCTGAGTCACTATCATACACCCCAAAACTTGGAACTTGAGATGCGCACCTGGAACGGAACTTCTCGCCACATCGCTACCACCATCCCCAAGTTCTCCAGTACATTCTTTCCTCCGCTTCCAAGCTTCCCATCTCTCACTTTTTCCTCCCTGCACAAGCACGTGCAGCTGGCAGGCTTCTACCTTTCTTTTTCCCTTCCTCTCCTGCAAGGCCAGGCACAGCTTCCTCCGAGTCCTACCCTCTATTCTCTTGCATGTCCCGCTGCAGATCAACGGGGGTGTTTAGGAGCACCTCAGCTAGGTATTTTGTGACAGTGGAGCATGCTGCAAATATGCATGGAGATTGACATTAACTCAGTTGTAGCTTGGGCGTCTAAGTCTGAGATAAATGCCCCAGGCTGTCTTGGTAGACAGTGAGGAGAAATAGGCACCTCCAGAGGCCATTCATCTGACCTATCTTAGACGCCTATCTTAAGATGAGATGAGCGGCCCTCTGGAGATGACTATTTCTCTTTATTGACTACAAAGGGACCCAGGGGCAACTAGTTCAGACTTAGATTTCCAATGGTGAGATATTTAAAACTGGGTGAGGTGATTTCTGCTCCCAGTGGTTATGTAAATGGGAGCTGGATACATAAACCCCTTCAACTTTTCAGCAGACACAGATTTATTTGCAAACACATCTCATCTCTTTCTATTTCAGTAAAAGCTTGTGTTTGAGTAAAATTAACATGATTCTAGCTGCAAGCCAAGGCTTGGGTGTGATAGGGATAACAACTCTCCTCTTGCAGTTAAATCAGTACCTTTCCTACAAATATTTTAAAAATAGACTCAGTTTCCTCCCAGTTTCTATCAACATCAGGACTCACGCTGAAGTAGTCATTTCTCTCCTTAAAGGAACGAGCTGTTCAAACAATGAGGATCTGCACTTAAGATTTAATCTTTCCTAGCTCCAGGAGATAAAAAGAAAGAAAAGTGTAAGTGGCAGCAGATTCTCAGCTGCTGTAAACTGACAGAACTCCACTAATTTTAATGGAGCTTCACACCAGCCAAAAACTTGCCCTTGCTACACCAGTGAGACACGATGGGATCCAACGTCTCCAGCGTCTGCTAGACGCAGTCCTCTGCTCCTGAATTGCATCAAACTGGGGAAGCCCTGGCATTTAAATGAAGAAAGATTGCTTTGAGCCCCTTGCAGCACAGTTTCCGGGAGCTTCCCCATCAAACAAGCCTTCATTCCCCTCTCTATGGGTGTTCTGGACAGGAGGAAAAAGGCAGCGATAAGCTCAGCTGACTCCCCGCAGCACGGCAGACAGGGACTGTGCTGCTCTCCTTGGTTCACCTGGCAGCTGTTTTGCATAGCCCTGGCATCAGATCTGGTGCGAGTTTGCCTGGGGAGGTTTCTCTGGGGATGGGAGCAGTAGAACAGTTCCGGAAGGCTTCCCCCCCCTACCCGCTGCTGTTCCCCCCCGCCTGGAACGCACCGTTTGCTCTGAAAACCAAAGACAAGCACTCTATCAGAACCGACACGGTTCCCACTGGAGGCCGCCGAGCCAGTCCAGCACTTGAGGATAAAAGTGCCGTAATGGGAGGAAAGTAAAATCAAGATTGCAGTGTGCCTTCATCTTCGCGAGGCAAACGCATGCAGCAACATGCAGATGTCACCTACGGGCAGTGACAGCCGCCCGTGGCTTTTCGCCCAACGACAAAAACAGGGCTGCAACCAGAAGGCTAGCCTTATCCCCCCCTTCCCACCCAACTCCACGCTTAATTCACCTCACAGTTTGATCTCAGCTGCACGGAAGGGACATGGAATTAGAAGGTGATTTCAATCTTTAACAGGTGTTGGGGAATTCCCACAGGGAATCAGTTTTCTGCCACGTGCATTTGGGAGGGAAATTCAGAACAGCTGAACAGCGATGGAGGAACAGTGCCAGGCAGACACCAGGCAGGGGATTCAGCTGCCTGGGCTTAGATGTCTAACTTTTAGGTGTCTAATTCTGAGCCAATTGCTCTAGGCTCCCTTTACAGCCACGGAGAGGAAGCGGGCCCTTCCAGAGGGCAATTCATCTCACCCCTGAGATAGATGGCAGAGAGATGAATCACCTTCTGGAGATACCTATTTTCATCATTGACTGTACAAGGAGCCCACGGTGAGTAGGTCAGACTTCAGCCTCACAGTACTGAACATCTAAAATTAAGATTAATCTCACCTATCCTGAAGATTTTGGCACTCCAGCTGATAAAGCACAATGCTATTAGAGATTGACAAAGCAGGTACATAGAGTGCCTTTCAATGCACATTTTCTAGAACCTGACACATTAGCTTGCTCACATTAACTGAGACAAGAATCAAATCTCTCACCTCAAACAACATGTGAAGTTAAAAGACTACCCAAGCGCAGGTAAAGAAAAGAATGGCAACAATTATTATGACTATAAATGATGCTTGACCCACGTGCTGTAAATTAAGCAAAATGCTCACCTGCACTGAGAATGATGGGGTTCTGTTAGGCAAAAAAAGATATTCAGAGGATTTCAATTCACTTTGGAAACTCAAGCAAATACCAAGTCATAGCCCCACACTACTGTTCCCAGCAGTCAGACCAGCGACTTCTCCAGAACAAGCAGGAAAAGCCCTGGGTGGTAGGAGCTCACTTAAATCACCTTCCCTCCATTTTAATGGCTACCCCTGATTCCCATCAGCTGTGTCCAGTGGCACTGGGCAGCAGGAAACTGGAGGGGAGCCCAAGCTCAAGCTGAGCAGGCAGCAGTCAGCTCCCTGGATCCTTATGTGCCCTGCTGCGATGCTTGCTGTTCCCAAGGCTTACCTTAAGAAGTGCTTTTTAAAGGGAGCAGGGGAAAGTGTGAACAGGATGGGGAGTTTTTGAGGCAGCCAGATGGGGCTGCAGTATTCATGTTAACTGTTTGCTCTAAAGACA